TGATTACTGGAAATATGCCATTGATTCCTGTCAGGATCTTGACACAGGCAACGCCATTTGGAAATTTAACCTCAATCTTAGAACCAAAGTGGTGGCAGCCTGACCAATCCTCCAGACAATACTCCATTATCATGCAAAGAAAGGAAATTGTTACCTGGGATTTAAATCCTGAAAAACACCTGTTTTGATTCTTCCCTGACAACCCCCTGGTAAAGGCCTAACCGGAAAAATCCCCTCCTTCCTTACTCCCCTGTCATTACCTCAGTGGAAGACAGATCTCAGTCTCCACAGGGCCCCCAACTGCAGCTCTGTCCTGAATAAACCTGGGTTACTGTAGAGCTGCCTCTGCTCTCTATTTCCTTCATTGGGTCCTTTCCTGATAACATCTATCCTCCCAAGTTCTTTATGGCTTTCAGAGTAGATGTCTCAACAACCTTCTTCCACCAGGGGAAGGGATAATCATTACTACCTTGGGGCAGCAGGGGGAATGGAAAAATTAATTCACATGAAACTACTTTATGTACTGCACAATGTTATCTAAATACATTTTTTAAAAACAAAAGAAAAAGAAAGAAGGCTTTCTGGAGTGTTAAAATTGTTGAAGCGCTCTAGCTGAAGTTCTAAAAGAGAAAATTATACGCCTGGACACAGCAGCAATAGCCTGATTATCCAGGGTCAGCTGCTGCAGCTGTGAGCAGTTTACCCACATGATTATCCAGTTTCCATCTCCCTCCTTTTAAGGCTGAGATAGCTGGATGGCAGCGAAGGCAGTGGGGGTGGTGGGTATCTAATATGAGTAAAGAAGTGTGTTCATCCCATTTGCAAAGGTTACACAAAAAACTCAAGGCACCTAGTCATTGTTTGGAGAAAGGGAATTTTTAGATTTTATGGGCTAACGGTATTTTATAGTTGCAACCTCTGCCAGGTTGTGTGAGCTAATATAATAAAAGTTGAATTTTTTTCACCTAGTGCCCTATGACTTACATTTAGCACCCTATCTTCTTTAGTATTTGAGAGTTTGCCTCTAAAGCTAGACTGGCTTGATCCCTAATCTTGAATCTATCACTTTTTAGCTTTCATCTTCAGCAAGTTTACTTAACCTCATCTCAAAATGAAAATGATTATGATAACTTACTCAGTATGCAGAGAAATAAAAGAGTAAAGGCACAGAGGCTTAGAACAGTGACTGCTAGCATACAGTAGGAGCTCTATAAATGCTAGCTATGATTTGGAATTGATCAGATCATATACAAGAGCTAGCATTTGAAGGCCATCAGAGTTAGACACTGTACTAAAAACTGTGCTCCTGCCACCGTGCCAGGCAGCCACACCTGACTACATGCTTACTGGACATAGGCAAGCTTCTTTCTAAGGTATGGATGCCTAGCAGGGACTAGCCAGCAAAGCAACCCTGGAAAAAAGATCTTAAAGGCTTCGAACTCAGATTTCTTCCTGTAAAACTGTCATAGTAATATCAATGTCACAGAATTGATGTGAGGATTTGATAAGATTATATTGAGATTCTGTCTCAAAATGGAAAAATAAAAGGGCTACAGATACAGCTCAATGGAAAAGCTATCCTGGGTTCAATCTGCAGTACCAAAAATAAGTATATACATATAATCACACAGACATAACATAACATAAATATGCATGCAAATGAATTACGTGACTAACAAACTCTGCCTTGATAATAGAGTGTCATTCACCATTCATAGGTGAAGCTAGTTACGGTTTCATAAGTGGGCCTGATTTTTATACCAACTGGTTTCAATTGATGAAAACACTTTTTATTTTTTTGGTAATGGGGATTTAATCCACGGGCCCTTTATCACTGAACTCCATCCCTAGCCCCTTTTCTTTTTGATTTTGAGACAGGGTCTCACTTAGTTTAAGACACTAACTGGTATTTATCATGAGCCCTAACATATTCAGATATGATGGCTACATTTCTGTAACTCTAAATTAGCAATCCAGCAATGAATTGCTGTGCTGTATAACGATGAGTCCAGCTGCTATACAGACTATTCAATGCTCCTAAAATCATGGAATGCAAACTGGTGTGGTTAAGATCTGCTATCAAAGTCTTAATTTTATCCTTTACATTATATGTATGTATGTATGTATGTGTTTTGTGGTACTGGGGAATGATCCTGGGGCCTTGTGCATGCTAGGCAAGTGCTCTGCTACTGAGTCACATCCCTAGCCCTGCATTGCATCTTTATGGCACTTATGTTTGTAGCACATAAAATTCATTGTAATTGAGGTGTAATTAGTCATTCCTTTGAAGTCATCTGGAAACAATTCATGACATCCTCTATCTTCTCTCATGCACAGTATGAGTCATGAGAGAAGTCATAATCATAGTACAAGAGGCTGGTTTTCTCACAGAACCTGGTTATCATCTGAATTTTTCTGCTTGAGCAAAGATGGCAGAACCAATTGTAACTCAAACATACCATGGCTCACCGGGAAAACCCTAACACTCCAACCAACTCCAAGTTCATACCTACCAGCAGTAATGACCATTTGGACATTACTACTGAATGGCCTCTGAAAAATTTTATAACCTACTGGTGATTTCATTCCCTGATCTATAAAATGGAGATAGTAAGAATACTGTTTTATACCCTCAAAGAAGAGGGCAGATCTCACATTAAGTGTTCTTAATTACCACAATGAAATAAGATTTAAAAGATTAATAGCTATCTTGTCAGTTTTAATAAATTAATAAAGGTTAAAATTATTAGAACAGTGCCTAGCACCATGTAAAATCAATAAACAAATGGAAAAAATATATGATACACCTTCTACTGTCCTCTAATTGCTTCTAAAACCATTTTCTCATCCAACAAGGCTTTGAGCCTTTGAAGTCCAGGGACCATACTGGCAACACGCTTTCTTTTCATCTTCCCTCCCTCAGTGAACTCAGCTCCACTGGAGGCAGGTTACCACAGCTGTGAGTTCAGTGTGGCAGTAGCACATGGGAGCAAAGCACCTGGGATACGCCCAGTGCCACTCCAGTCAATGCCTCCATAGCAGTGGCTTTCCAAGCATTTGACCCCAATACACGGTGCTTTTCGGTTGCAATTCAATACATGCTTGAATACTACATAAATATCTATATCTATCTTGTAATATATATATATATATATATATATATATATACTATCTAGATAGTATATATACATATAATGTAGATACTACAGAACATGTAGTACCTATACTATCTACATATTTATATAGTGTATACCTAACTAAAATAAAATTTGCAAAAAATATTTATCTTTATTTTATAAAATATACCCCATTATTTTCTAGTTAAATCAAATTTGGTTCCTCTTAAACTGTAATATACAGTCCAATTTTGTGATCATCTTAAAATTCAGATCAGATTCAGCAGGACTTGGGTAGGGTCAGAGATTCTGCCTTTCCATCACATTCCCAGGTCATACTGCAGGTTCATGGACCATACTTTGATTATAAAGAGCCTAGTCTAGTTTATTTAAAGTTATTTTATATTATTTTAAATTTTTTTTAATGCTAGAAATGATCCTTTAAAATTATTTCAGGACCCACGAAGGGGTTTTAATCTGCATGTTTTTAAACATTGCTCCAAATAATTTCTAAAGTTTATTTAAAGTCTATAATTCCTAATCTTGGAATAGAAATCCTATGTAGGCCTGGAAGGGAGCTGGGGAAAAAGTAACTCAAGGATCACCTCTCATGCTGCCTATAGGCAAAATGCTGTCCTGTTCCCATTTCTTTCCTCCCAGTCCCAAGCCTCCGCCTTATGGCTACTGACTAAGCAGTTACTAAGGGCAGGGCGCTGATCCAAGTGCTTTACATCTATCCATTTATTCACACAGCCACCCTATGAGGTTATCCCAATTTTCAAGACAGGGGAAAGTAAGCAGCTGTAAAAGGTGGGGCTGGGATTTGGGAGGCTATGATTTGTGACAGTCCACCTCCAAGATGGCTCCAGCGGTCACTGTGTTCTGGTATCCCTGCCTCCTCTTCCACACTGAACAGGGCTGACCATGTAACCAATAGACTATTGGGGAAATGGCAGAGTCTGACTTCCAAGGCTCAGTTAGAAAAAGCACTGTGGCTTCCGCCTTTCACTCTCTTGGCCCCTCCCTCTCTGGGGGAAGCCAAGCTATCAGGTCACCAGAATCCTCAAGCAGCTTGCTGAAGTCCACACAGTCAGTGTTGCACTAAAGCCTCTAGCCTACAGCCAGAACCAACCTGTTTGGCAACAAGTGAGTCACTGTGGAAGTGAGTCCTCCAGCCTGGCTGGTATTCAGATGACTATCACCCTGGCCAATGTCTTGACTTAACCTCAGGTGGCACCCAAGCCAGAACCTCCCAGCTGAGCTTCTCCTAAATCCCACAGAAACCGTGTGAGATAATAAAAGTTATTGTTGTTTGATACTTTAAGTTTTGGAATAATACATTATGCATTAAATTTTAGGATAATTTGTCATGTAGCAAAAGGTAACTGATACAGCTCTGAACCAATAGGTTACACTGCATCATTATGATTCAGCACTATAAAGAAAATGAAAACTTTATGAAGTCTCTTTTGATTAACCCTTCCCTGTGGCTACTTGTATCATGATTCAGAAAAATTTCATTTTCTCCTCCCAAGATATCTACTTCCCAAGGCCATGGAGTTGTTTGTGATGTTACATTCTCATCTGAGTAGAAGCTTCTGAAAGCATCACAAGAATCTGCCTGTCCTTTTCAGCTTCGGCAGTCATCTGTAAAAACAACATACCCCAGACAGTCGATGTACCTCTAGACTGTGTCCCAGAACAAGAAGGCATGATACACATATCTGAAATTGACTCTCAGCTTACAGACAAGCCAAGTTATACCCAAGCAGAGGTACAACAGATTTAGAACCATGATTGAGAAAAAAAGTGCTTGTTGTTATATATATCACAAGATTGTGGGGTTTGTTTGTTACTGCAGCAAATGCTGACCAATACACTCACCATGTTGTATGATGCCATGCTCCATAAGCCGATGGCAAAGCTGCTCAGCCTCTTTTCTTGTGGTGGCCTCACCTTCCTGAACCAGCCAATCCAGGAATTCAGATGCCATGAAGGTGCGCTCATACTTGACTCCTTCTTCTTCCCTGGGTTGTAAGAGTGTGTTTTCAGGGGCCATCAGCCTGGGAGGAAAAAAGGGGGAAAGAAATATAAAGCAAATCAACACAAAAGGAGCATAGCTCATTTGAAATCCTAAACCATAGACTTCTGTGAAGTATCAAGCACTTGTCAGACAGACAGATTTGGCTGTCATGTGCTGCCACAAATGTAAATTCTAAGAGAGGATCTGCATCAGAAGTGAACAGATGCATTTTCTTCTGGTAATAAGGGAAAAAAAACTGGAAATAAAACCTAAGACTTTACCATTCATAGATGATATTCAAGATAGTCACCTTGCAAAGTAGTAGCCCCATCCCACCTTTCTAAAAAGGCTAGTGTTTCTTTCCTAAAGACATAATCCATTTCTCAAATCACTGTGCTAACAAGATTTCTGCTGTAGTCTGTTTGTAAACTCCACCCTCCACACACACACACACACCAATTCTTTGTATATGCTGAATAATCCCTAATGTGATGGATTGGAGATGGGTCTTTGGAAGGTAGTTTATGTGGTTGGAGCCCTCATGATGGAATTAGTGCCCTTGCAAGAAGAGACAAAGATAGCATGCTTCTCTCTCTCTGCTCTATCTATACAAAGATGCAATGACAAGACAGCCATCCTCAAACCAGGAAGCAGGTCCTCATCAGATACAGGGTATGCTGGCACCTTCATCTTGAAATTCCCAAACACTTGTTGTTTGTTTAAGCTAACCAAATCTATGGTAATTTTGCTAAAGTTGCCTGAGCTAAGACAGCCACATAAGTCAGTCCTTTACAATCTTCCTATCTTCACCACCTAACTTGCTTTCTAAGCATTTCTCTACTCCTTGGGATTTTGCCCTTCAAAATCGCTTCACTGGGGCCATCAGCATTCTCCTATGCATGCAAATATGACCCAATGTAACATAAATCTAAGTCTTCTTTTAGGTTGACATAAGTACCATTACATATTGCTGACCATTTCCTCCAGCTAAAGGGACATCACACTTATATTCCTCTCCTGTTCCTCCACTCCCACCTCTTTCTCAGCGCATCTGTGTTGGTTTCTCCTCATCTCCCTGAACTTTAAGTTTTGGAATAATACATTATGCATTAATGTAAAGGCTGGAATCATTTGAGATTCAAACCCCAAATACTTCTTTTCTCATTCCATAATCTCCTGGGTGAACTCTAACATCCTTACAGATTCAGTTACTATCTGTGCCTCAAAGATCCCCAAATATACATCCCCAGACAGGGCCTCTACACCCAACTCCAGTCATTTGCATCCATATAAATGCTGAAAAGACACCTCAAAATTAACAAAAATTGAGCTCCTGTCTTTTCCTCCCAACCAGGTTCTGTGCTAGTGAATGCTTCCACTCGCTGGACAGAAAAATAAATAAATAAAAGCCCCAATACCTACATCTTTACCAGCCTCCCACCCCCACAATCTGGCAGATGAACTGCAGATTTTATTTCCTAAATCTCTCTCATGTATGTCTAGGTCTTCTCTTTCTGCATTGCCACCACCTTAGCCGAAAACACCAATACTTTTAACTGAAATAATGATGTGTTTTCTTAGAGTATTTATCCATCTGCTTTTGTTCTCAACCCAACTTTATACACCTACATCCTGATATGGTAATTAAAAATTATCTTTCAAAAATTCAAATCTGATAATGTTCTTCCACTGTTGAAATTATACTTTAGTGAGCTGGGTGTGGTGGTACATGCCTGTAATCCCTGCCACTCAGAAGGCTAAAACAAGCAGATTGCAAATTTTAGGACAGACTGGGCAACTTAGCGAGGCCCTCAGCAAGTCAGCAAGATCTTGTCTCAAAATAAAAAATAAAGAGCAGCCTCTTATCCCTGTTAAAAAAAAAAAAAAGAAGAAGAAGAATTAAAAATAAAGAAAAGCTGGGGATGTAGCTATCAGGTAAAGTACATGGGTCCAATCCCCAGAACCAAAAAGAAAAAATAAGAAAATATACTTCAATGACTTCTCATTGCCTTTAAAATAAAAACCAAAGTTGTTTACACGGCTTATAATGCATGCAAAATCCTGCCCTCTGTCTCACTAGAATCACTGCTGTGGCCAGGCCTGGTGGCACATGCCTATAATCCCAGGGATCTGAGAGGCTGAGGCAGGAGGATCACAAGGTTGAGGACAGTCTGGGCAACTTACTGAAACCCTGTCTTGAAATTAAAAAAAAAAAAAAAAAAATTAAAGGGTGGTGGTGGAGAGTGGCTGGGAAGGTAACCTAGTGGTAGAGCACCCCTGGGTTCAATCCCCAGTATTAAATGAGTAGTCACTCTCACTTCTTTGGGGACACTGGCCTTCTTTTAGTCCCACAGACATCCTATACCCTATCTTCCAAAGGGCCTTTGAATGCTGGAATAGTCTCTCCTGCTTCTCCCCATCTTACCTCCATTTTTCATGCTTATTTAACTCCTATCCTTCACATCTTTATTGACAGGTCTCTATTAGAATCTTCTCATTGTTTCCCCTGCATTTTGTGTGATTTCCAGACTAAGGATTACCTCCCCTATTCAATATAAGCTCCAGGAGGGTAGGGTCCATGTTCATCCACAAAATTTTATGTAAAACAGAATCTCGTCAAATACCAAGGTCAAAAACCAAATACAAGGCTGTGTCATCTTCTTTTGTAAAACTGTGCCTGGTAATTTCTGTCTTCCATATGAAAGCTGGTCTTTCTTTTAAAAAGCTTCGTTTCCTTTCAAACAATAATATGCAATACAAATTGAACCACTTCACTCGAGAGCAGGAAGAAACCTTAGAGATCTTTGTAACCCAGCTTCCTCTGCATCTACACAAGAAAAATGCAGTTCTCATCCAGATGAGGAAAACTACGCAACAGCCCTCACTGTAAGGGATAACTGCACAGTACACCTGAGTGCCATATGGTGTCCATCCTCGGTGCTTTCTGACCTACAGCCCAACCATCCTACAGAGTGAACACTGGTCTAGGAATCAGATAAGGTTTTCACTTAGCAGCTTTGAGACCTCAGGCAAGCCCTCTTTATTTTTTTTCCAGACTCATTCTCCTCAGGAGTACAATGGCACCTTCACAGAGCTGTTGTAACAATCACACGTGAGTAAATGGCTTCATAATGCAGAAGTCACTGTAAATGCCAAGCCCTGCACTACTTAAGTAACCCCCGATGCCCACACCAGGACACGACAACCTTGTTCCTAAAGGCTATGAACTGATGGAAACAGAAACTCTTTCAAAATTCCTCTGCTCCTCCCAGAAGAATTAGGAGTTTTGCTAAATACAAGTCACAAAAGGGCATAGGATTAGCAAACCGCAGTCTTGGGATCTGAACTCAGACTGCCACAAATTCAGACTGCCACATGCCATTTCTCACTGCTTCAGTGTCTTCCAAACATATTAAATAAGGAAAATAATGCCTGTTCCACTTTTCTCATTGGGTTACTGCTATCATCAAAAGTCTTTTTTTGGGGGGGACCCTAAAAGTTCAAAGAATATAAATATATATTTTATATAAAGAGAATTTATAAAAGCTACAATTTCTCATTTAAAATCTTCTTATTCAGGATGATCTCATTTAAACACTTCTTATGTAAATCCCTCTCTAAGTCAATCCTCTTCTGTACTTTTGTTCATACTGAGAAGTAGTTACTAGGCTGCTTGCCTGGGGTTAATGACAGCTGAGTTGGGGTGGGCAATAAGAGCTCAGAGCTATTTAAGTATTATTTAATATAATACTGGCCAGCCCCTTCTTAGAAGGTGAAGGGCAACACAAGTGTCAGAATCATGAAGACATTCTATAGGTGATCAAGTGCACGGAGGCCACACAGCTCCTCTCACCTGCCTTCCACTGGGACTGCCTTGTGTCTCCCATCAAGAGGCTGAGTCTGTTTCAACTTCCCTTGAACTTGTGTTGGCTTTGAGACTGGCTTTGATCAACAGGATGCAGTGGAAGTGACATTATAGACACTTCGAAGGTGAAGTGTAAGAGGCCTGGCCAACTTCCTCCTTTGTTCCATTGTAGTGCCACCATGTAAGAGTGCAGGTGGCCTCTTGGAAGGAGAGGGCCCAAGGAGGGGAACCAAGGTGCCCAGGCAACAGCCAGCACCAACTCTTGGACATGTGAATGAGACCATCCTGGACCTGTCGGCCCTCCAAGAGCAAGCCCTGGAGAAAGGACTGGAAGAACCACGCCAACCCATAGAATCAGGAAAAATAACACTATTAAGTTCTAGGGTGATTTTCTTTGCAGGAATAGGTAATTGGGACACATTCCTATCAACAGAAGGTGGCAATACTATGTGAAACATCACACACAGGAACACATCACACAGCTCAGAAAGTATTAAGGGCAAGATAAGGAACGGTGGAGGGTGCTGGAAATAAACTGCACAGAAAAAAAAAAAAGCCATATGTGGCCAGACCTGGGAGCCTGCACTGGTGATGAGAATCTAGGATTCATATGTTCAGGTCCCAATAAGGAACACCACCCTGGGGCTGGGGATATAGCTGAGTTAGTTAAGTGCCTGCCTTGCAATGCTCAAGGACCTAGGTTCAAACCCCAGCACCACAAAAAAAAAAAAAAAAAAAGAAATACCACCCTTCCTTCATTTCTTTGACCATTCAAAGAATGGAGCAAAAAAAATGGATAACTAGCCTCAATTTTGCCATTATAAACATTATGTCTCCTGAGAATTCTCTGATTCTTATAAATCTGAACCATGCCACTTCCAGAGTCCTCGGGAATCACCTGCTCCCACGACTGTAAGCTTTTGATGAGCAGAGACCCTGTTTATGTAGTTCATGGTTGTTTCCTAGCACAATAGGTTTATTAAAAATTTTGGCTGAATGAATAAATTAAACTCATTTCTATGCATTTCCTGTCATCATCCATTTGGTGGGGCGAGTATTGGGAACTGAACCCAGGGGTGCTTTACCACTGAACTATATCTCCAGTCCTTTATTTTTTTTCATTTTAAGACAGGATCTAAGTTGCTGAGGCTGGCCTCCAACTTGTGATCCTCCTG